CAAACACACACAGACATATGAATCAGTACGTATATGAGAATCAATTAGTCATTATATAACAAAATCATGTATTGAATTATCAAAAAATAATAAGAAAAATAATAAGAATAACAATAAATAAGTTAACCAAAAATAAATTTTTTCGAATGAATATAAAAGTCAAATAGACAATTAAAATCAGAAGGATGCATTTAAATAAGACAATGATATATTAACCCACTTAAACACACACACACACACACACACACACGCAGATACAAACACGCAAACGCGCGCACACATACATACAAACACACACGCACGCACACACACACATACATACATATATATAGTTGTGTTGATGATGTTTCATGCATCATTGATATAGTTATTGATTGCAGTTGGTGGTGATAACAGAATTGTTAGTACTATTGTTGTTGTTGTTGTGGTTGTAGTGATGTTGGTATGGCTGATGTTACTGTTGGTCATTCATAGTGATTCTAAAGTTGTTGGTCATCAGAGTTGATTCGACTACTGCTGTTGTTGTGATGTTATGGTTGACGTTATTGTCGGTATTGATGTTATTAATACTGGTTTTGTTGTTGCTGTTAATGTTGTTGTTGTTGATGTTGTTGCTGTCGTTGTTGTTGATGTTGTTGCTGTTATTGTTGTTGTTGTTGATGTTGTTGAGATTCAGTAAAACATTAGGACTATGCACGCCGGCAACGGCCAGCAATAACGGGAGGTCACTCACATCAAACCTTCAAAATTATTTAATCACCGTTCATCAGTTTCATCGTCCAATCATCATCATCCAATCATCATCATCATCATCATCCTCCTCCTCATCATCATCATCATCATACACATCATTATCACAACCACACTCTCGGTACTGTAGCTATCATCACCATCATCATCACCATCATCATCATCATCATCATCGTAACGAGCACAACTACTACTATCATCACCGTCATCCATATTCCAACTATCATTCCTACAATGTGGACCTACATATATGGTGATATATAATTCAATCTATCTCGTCATCATCATCTTCCTCATCATCACCACAAACATCATCATCATCTTCTTCTTCATCCCCATCATCATCATCTTCTTCATCACCATCGTCACAATCACCATCAGTACTAACCCTAGCAGTCTAGCAATCTGTTGGGAGCACACCTGCTCATACAACTCAATGTACCTAGCTAGTACCCTACTCTTGCTACATATCAATTTCAGCTGGTTTTCAATCACCATCAAAAGCTGTGATTATGATTAATCATCATTAATTATAATTAATCATCATTAATTACTATTAACTATAATTAATTATTATTAATTATCACATCATCATCATCAAGAACAACAAAGACCTCATCATAATCGTGAGAAATGACTAACTCGATTAGATGGGGTGTTGTGCCTGGCCAGCTCGTAGATGACCTCAATGAGGTTGAGGACAAGTTGAGAGGACGTGATGACGTAAGGTGATAGCTCGTTGACGTCATCGTTGTTATTATTATTATTATTGTTGTTGTTATTGATGTTGTTGTTGTTTGCGATTTCAGCCTTCAGACTAAATAACTGAACGACCCTGATTTACATGTAAAAAAAGGGAAGAAAAATTACCTTCACAATTATCCCATCATCATCATCATCATCATCATTATTGCTTGATACACTGGTCATCGTCATCATCATCGTCATCGCCATCATCACCAACAACAGCATCATCATCATCATCGTGACTATTACTAACCAGTTATCGACATCAGCGGTTATGCAAAGTGCAGCATCGGGTTTTGTGATTGGAGGATTCTGTAATAATAATAATAATCATAATAACAACAACAACAAAAATAATAATAATAATCATAATAATAATATTAATCATAATAATAATAATATCACAAACAACAACCGCAATAGATAGAAAAATTCTCAAATGGAACCAAGTCAACCAATCGTAGAAGCAAAAACAAAGTCAACCAAACCAACCACACCTATCACAGAAGAGTTTCCAAAGTCAACCAAACCAGCCCGACAAATCATAGAAGAGAATACAAACAACAACTAGCCAATAGCATAGATATGAGATCCTGTTTTAGTTTAGTGTACGGCTGAGCGATAATAGATCGATCGGCCGTTCCGTGTAGGGCGAAATTAGGGAGGTACTCCGGACAGAGATCCCCCAGTAAGGAATGATAGGGATTAGGGCAAGTCTTTATTGATGGTTTTGATGATGATGTTGATAGTGATGATGACGGTAATGGTAATGGCGAGAATGATGATGAAGCAGCTAGTTTTGTTAATGATAATGGTGGAAATAATGATAAAGATGTTGACGGAAATGTTGATGAAACTGTTGTTGATGTTGTTGCTGGTGTTTTTGATGATGTTGTTGTTGGTGGTGGTAGTGTTTTTTGTTTAATGTTGCTGGCTGCAGTACTATTGGATAGTGTGAATGATGTTGTTGATGTTGATGTAATTGTTGTTGTTGATGTTACTTCGAATGTATCTTTCTGTTGTTGTTTTTGTTGTTGGTGGTGGTCTTTGAATATGACAGACGATACAGATGATGACGACAATGACGACGACGATGATGACATTAAGTTAGATGTTGTGATTGATGAATTCGATAGAGTTGACGATGACGAAACATTTTGAGGATGTTGTTGCTGTAGACGTTGTTGTTGTTGTTGTTGCTGCTGTTGAAAAATATCAATATCGTAATAAAATTTAGAAGTAGAGAGTTGATTTTTTTGCTGGGATATATGTTCACTGCCTGTTGATTTTGTTGCTGGTTTGTACCTACAAAACGAACTCAGTTCTGTTGAGTTCATCTGTCTGCTACAAAAAAATGTTGGCATTGGGACTTCAACATATTGAGATGATGTTTCTGGCGCTGTGGATGTTGGTGACACTGCTGTTGCTCGTAACGTTTCATCATTTCTTGCAGCATCATCACTATCCTGACCTGAATTCGAAGACTGACCAATGAGAGCCAGTTTAAATTTAAGCTGATCCTTGATTGGTCCATCGGGCAAACAGATCAACCTATCATTGGCGGTTGAACTTTCATCAACCTCAGTCGAATCGATGATCGAGAAATGATTTTTATCCAAGAAAAGAGCATCATTATCAGTACCGCTTAGCGATAAAACGATAGTTGAATCGGTTAAGTTGGAGAGGCAGGTTTGATCCATTGCAGTTTCATCCACTGATGCCTTCGACGTTCCATCACTTTCCGTGCATGCGTTTGCACTGCTGTCTGCTAGACTGACCTGAATGTCGCCATACTGCGTCATAATCTCTTCAAGGATTGACTCCAGGTTGAAATGAGATTCTGCTGAAGTGGCTGGTGATTTCAATGGCGAACTAACTGTAAGCGCTTTGTCGGATTTTGCGCACGATAGCATTTCGACATTTGTTGTGGCCCCTGTTGCTGCTGCCGTTGAGGCAGTAATCAAATTCGTTGGTAAGTTTATTATGGACTGCAGAGCATCTGGGCGTGTTTTATCATTTCTGAACGACGAAACGACCGCTTCATCATCGTCGTCACCGTTGTTGTCGTCATTCTCTTCAACAATATTACCAGTGGCGCCGACAACATCATCGCCGTAGCCAAATGTCATCAGCGAATCGACGTTGCTATGGCAACTACTCTCTGTGTTCTTGCTACTCAGGCCGACACCACTATCAACATTGTTATCATCATCATCCATCACGTTGTTGTTGCTGCTGCTGCTACTGCTGCTCTGGTGATTGTAACAACGACGATGGCGTCTAAATGTTTCGGTAGTGATGTTGTTGCTGTTGTTAGTATTATTATTATTATTTGTATTATTATCCCCATTATAAATGACGTCATCCTTAATTGCGACATCATATTTGTTATTACTAGTCGGGTGATCATTTTTAACTGACATGAGACATGAGAATCTTACATCACTACCACCACCACCACCACCACCACCACCACCACCACTACCACTACCACCACCATCGTCGTCGTGGTGGTTTTGGTGAGAATGAGTGCAGTGATAATAATGATGATGATGACGACGATGATGTTGACGATGACGCTGATGATGTTGAAAGAGGGTCTTGTAATCATCGCAGAGAGATGGCTTCGTACTTTTAAGATCACCACCATCACCATAATCTTCATCATCATCGTCGTTACGTTTAGTTCTCTCGTAACCCTCATTAACATCTAAATCCGCAATGACGTCATCATCGTTGTTGTTGTTATTCTCAGTATTAGTAGTAGTTGTATTATGGTTGTTGCTATTTCTGCCGGGAGATAATTCAGAAAGTTCAATATCGTTCGAAGGATGATGATGTTTATGTTGTAGATGATGACGGCCCAATTTTAACTTGACGTCATCCGAATTTGTAACCTCAACAACGACAACCACATCATCGTCTAACTTGATCGTCTTCTCGCTACCGACGCTGCTGCTGTTGCTGCAACTGCTGCCAACTTTTTGCGACAACTCTTTACGTTGATTCTCAACACTACTTTTTTTCACGCACACATTCTTGTTGTTGTTAAGTTTGTTGTTTGTATTGTTTAAGGTTGTAGTCGTTGAAGCTGTAAAAGTAACCGTAGTTGTGGTAGTAGAAGTAGTCGTAGTAAAAGAGGCTGTAGTAGAAACAAAACTGGTAGTAGTAGCAGTAGCAGTAGTAGCGTTTAATTTCAGCTGAATATTTTTAGAAGGTAAATTAACAAAACTAGTAGCTTGAATTTCAATTCTTGAATCATCTTCAAGTTCGTTTGGATCTAGGTAGAATTTACTTTGGGACGTGGTGTTCTTAAACTTCACCTCACTAGTCCCATCAAACTTTTTACACCTAAAATTTCCCCAACACTTACTTCTTCCTCTAAACAGGTTACAACGTTTGCGTTCGAAGCAAACATCTGAAAATCCAGAATCTTTGGAATACTCCATCTCTAATTTTTTATCTATGCTCGAGTCACCAGATGAAGTTTCAAAGTTGCACCTACATAGTTCACGGTCGTGCGTTACGATGTCCTCACAACGGATGAAATAACTCAAAACATTTAGGATCTTCTGAGTTAGGACTACTTTCCCGCCAATTACAACTGTTCTGGATAGGCAGCATGGAAAGCCAATGGCCCCGAATAAATTTCTTAAAAAATTAATTAACTAAATTAACTATAAAAGAAAAAAATTTCAATCTAATGAAACAAAAATGAAAAAAATAATTGTAAAAATGGGCGGCTCGGTGGTTTAACGGTTAAGGTGCCTGGCTTTCCTCTTGCAGTGAATGGGCTTGACTGCAAAGAGATACCAGCCTAGCGCCTACAACATGCAACGTGTGCGCGCGTATGTGTGTGTGTATGCATATATGTGTGTGTATGCATATGTGTGTGCGTGCGCGTGTGTGTACTATTCTTGCCTCTTCGAACAGCTTAAGAGAGAATTGAAAAAATGTGACGTCGTAATTAAAAAACGCAAATGAATCCTGTATAGTAAACCTTAATTGGCTCTTCATTGAGTTTTTATCTGGATTTACTTTTATAGTCTGAAAATTGGAAAAAGAAAATTTCAATTTAAATGATAAGAAACACACAGACGCACATACATGCATGCATACATGCATGCATGCATGCATACATACATACATACATACATACATACATACATACATACATACATACATACATACATACATACATACATACACACACACACACACACACACACACCACACACACACACACACACACACACACACACACACACATACATACATACATACATACATAAACAAACATACAAGCGAAGAAACTAACACATACAAACAAACCAACCAACAAGCAAAACAACAAACATACATACACATACATACAAACAAACAAGCCAACAAACAAACACACACACACACACTAACAAACCTCATCCACAGTAGTCACCCATGACAGGTGATGTGTTAAAACTGCTGTCAACAAGCCACCTAAAAAACTGAAGGAGTAAAAGTAACATAATATTATTTCATCATCATTATTATTAGAATTAAAATTGAAAAAAAAAATCCTCACAATTTTGTATTCCTAGTAAAGCATTTGTCACAGAGGTAAACAAAGTCAGACGCAAAAGATGACGACGACGACGATGGTGTTGATGATGACGATGATGAAATAGGCAGTGATGATAATGATGACAACCAGAGGGGACGGTGAAGTCGTGGGAAGTGAACAAAGTTTCTTATGTTCTTCAGAGTTGGCTCAACTGCCTGAAAAAATATTATAAAAGGAGAATGAATAAACGCCTGAATGAGTGCGTGAATGAATGCATGCATGAATGAATGAATGAATGGATAAATGAATGAGTGAATGAATGAACCTACCAACTAATCACCAGCCAAACAACCAACCAACCAACCTACCGACCAACCGATCAACCAGCCAATCAACCAACCAACCAACTAACTTGATTGAATATGGAATAAAAAGCACCTCTCCCCGAACATTTCAAGGCGGATATCAAATGCTTATCCTCAATGGTGGATTTCAATCTGTGTATATAGCACTCGAGTACCGAGATGTTAGCGAAGAAGAAGTCCGTCACAAATCTATTCGGCATTGGCCGGGGACAAAAGATCACGAATAAGAATACTCAAGTAAAAAATAATAGTTATTATAATAATTATGACGGTAAAAGTTAATAATAGTAACAAATAATAATAATAATAATATAATAATAATAATAAATAGTGAATAAAAAATTACTCACTCCGTTACGTCATTGTTATCTGTTGGCAGATTGAAGATAAGTGCGATGCCTATCTTGGCTGGCCGACGATTCAATGGAATGTTCTGAAAGTTTAGAAATCATCACCATCATCATCGTCATCACCATCGTTATCATCACCAGATCATCATCATCATCACCATTGTTATCATCACCAGATCATCATCATCATCACCCTCGTTATCATCACCATCATTATCATCACCAGATCGTCATCATCATCATAATGTCACTCACTTGTTTGCACCATTCGTCAGTATACAATGAAGAATTTTTAAAGCAGCCCTTATTGGTAGCAGCAACTTTGCTTGACGACGGCGGCGATGATTGCGATGGCGACGAAAACGCTAACGATGACGTCAGAGAGCTGGCTGTTGTAAGGATTTATGATAGCGATGGTAAGGATTGTGATGATTATGACGTGATGAGGCGAAAACAAAGACGAGTATGATGCCAGTTTGAAATAAATATTTGTTGGGGATGACGATAACAGTGATGCTAATAGAGAGATGTTGATGGCCACTGAATTGAAACAACAACACTAACCACAACAACAACAACCACAACAACAACGACGACGACGACGATTAAAACGATGTTCAGGATAAAAATCCTGACATTCCACATTTCATCATCATCAAAATATGACGTCATAGTATCATACTAATGACGTCACATATCGTCATCATCATCGTCATCATCATCATCATCATCATCATGATTATCCTCACCGCATGTTCTGACTTCTTGAAACCATCCTGATGAAGGTGATGACGACAAATTTGACTTGTAAGGAATAGCTATTGGATTGGTGTTTGAGATATCTGGAAAGTTTTGAGAGAACGTATGTTTCATTTATCTATTGATTCATTCGTTCATTTATTCATTCATTCGTTCGTTCATGTATTCGCTTATTCATTTGTCTACTTATTCGTTCACTCGTTCGTTCGTTCGTTAATTCGTTTGTTAATTAATTTTTTAATTTATTTATCCATCCATCCTCTAATTAGTCGATCGTTCATTCATCCCTTCATTTATTCATTCATTCGTTAGTTCATCCATCCATCCATTAATTCACCTAATGATTTGTTGAGTTCATCATTAACAGCTAACGGTAAAGATGTGTGGTTGTCCTTATTGTGATGATGACCACGACGATGATGAAGATGATGATGATCATGTCTTGACGATAATGAGGTTGATGTCTTGTAACTTTTTGTTGTTGTCGTTGATGACGATGACGTTCGTGATGATGATGATGGCGTCGTCATCATGGACGACGTCAGCAGTGACGTCATTGATGACGAGACAGATGTGTCGTCAGGTAAGTCTTGAAAGCAGTATAGATCGAACATCCCGCTAGAACGAAGAAGATGACGAAGACGATGATGAGGAAGAAGAAGATGATGAAGAAGAAGATGAAAAAGAAGAAGAAGAAGATGATGAAAAAAAAGAAGATAATGAAAAAGAAGAAAAAGAAGAAGAAGAAAAAGATGATGATGATGATGTTAAAGATATTCTATGTGATTTTAAGCAGACAAAAATAGAAGCTAGATATAGGCAATTGATGAAATAACATTTTCGATTTTAAAATTAAAAAGTAGAACAAAGAGCGAATGAATGAAAGAATAAATAAACGGACAAATGAAATAATGAAAAAAGAAAAGTGAATGAATGAATGAGCAAATGAATAAATAATCATTCAACCAATTTATCACTCACCTAATACTTGAGGTGAGTGAGGATGATGAAGACGATTGTAATGATGATGACGATGTTGTTGTGGTTGTTGTCGGTGACGATGATGAAGATGGATTGAATACTTTAGCTATCATTAGCTGCGTTGGAGATCTGAGTAAAAGTATTTTTGGCTAAACCATTTTGTGACTAGTACCGTTAAGTTAAGTAAAGTATGCTTGTAATGTGACGTCAATGAATGAATGAATGAATGAATGAATGAATGAACAAAAAACGAACGGACGAACAAATGAATGATTGAATGAATAATGAATAAGTGAAAGACGATTAAAATGAATGAACGTCTGAATGAATGAACAAGTGAACGAATGAGTGAATGAAGGGATGCGTTAATGAAAAAATGAATGAAAAAATGGATGCATGAATGAATGAATGAATGAATGAATAAATGAATGAATAAATGAATGGGTGCCCACTTTATAGAATGAACTTTGGTGGACAGTGGCGACTTCCTACACATGACCTGATTTCCAAAAATTAGGTCACCAAAGAACTTTTTATCGGCACATTTTTTCTATTAAATAATACAGTACCGTTAGAAAAATCGAAAAATTCATCAATAATATGTATATATATATATATATATAATATGTATATATATATATATATATATATATATATATAAATAGCTGACCAGAACACACATACAACATCACCATCATCTACATCATCATCATTTCTTCATCATCATTCTCAGTATAGAAGCTATCATGTGATAATGTATATATATATATACAATAAACATACGCCACATGTGCGTGCATACATCGTGCGGGCAAAAGCATTGACATGACAACTAAAAATTAGGAAAAAAGAATAAATTCTGTTTTTTGCAAAATAAAATTTTTATTTGTAATCATTAAAAATATAAATCCTCTTTTAAAAATCACTGCCTAACTTCATCAACGTCACTTTGTTGATGTCTAGGGTCTGAGCAATTGTTGTTGCTGCTGCTGCTGTTGTTGTGGCTGCTGTTGTTGCTGCTACTAGAGTCAAATAACAAACACCTTCCATATTTATCATGTTCTTTGATGACAACCAGCCTGATGTCCTCTTTTTTCAATATGTACCGACCATCGTGTGTCCTGCAGATAATTGGGATATAGTATCCAATGATGATTGAATGCTTTTCAGTGCAATTTAATTTATCCCATATTACTATTATATGACACTAGTAAGATAGTACTAGCAATAAGTTATAATATAAATGATTATATATAATACTAGTGGAATACAATATAATTCAATCAATCAATCAATCTTCCTTTTGCGTCCAGAGACCCGGTTTCCCGAGGTAGGACGTTGTTTTCTTTGCCATCAACTTTTTGCGCCAAATTAGACGATCAGTTGTATCCATTTCATTTAAATTTAGAGCTTTCATGTCTTGCTCGATTGTTTGCGACCAGGACTTTGGGACGTGTGCCAGGTACTTCAACATCTGCAGGAGAAGTTATGGCACTGTTTCCACTTCGTTTAACATGACCAAACCACTGCAGACGGTGTGGCCGGCATTCGTCCTTTATATCATCTAAACCAGCACGACTCAGGATTTCGGTAGATTTGATGTGGTCCTAATTCGTTGCATCCATCAGAGCATTTTCATGTCGGTTCGTTAAAGTTGTTGTTCCAGTTTGGTTGTCATTGGCCATGTTTCTGCACCATATAACAACACCGGACGTATCACAGATTTATAAAGTCTTGATCGTAGTGGTAGTGAGATGTCAAGCCGCATCAATATAGAGGCAAGGAGATGCCATTTATTCCAGGCTGCACATATGCGTGCTCGAACGGCAGCTTCAGCTGTTCCAGTACAATCCAGAACATCCCCTAGATATTGAAACGATGTGACTTTCTCTATTTTAATGGCTTCAAAAACGGTGCCATTTCGAATTTGAGTACAATATAATTATTATAATATATAATAAATATAATAAAAGAGAAAGGAGTGTTGTAGTGTTTTGTAAGTAAGTAATGTAAATATTATATACTATGCAATTTGTGTAAATGTATATATCATGATACTTTAATAAACTTAAAATTAAACAGTATAGTATATGGACCAATATACTAGATAGTAGAAGATAGCGTAGGCCATACTTGATGTAGAAGTTGTTCTTCTTGTGATGTCCAGTATTGCCAGATGTACCGCTGGAGGAGGCAGATGATGAGGATGACCTTGTTTTGTTGGAGGAAGAGCATTTTTTATTATTATTACTACTACTGATTGTATTTTGTTGGTCATCTGACGTCTGTCTTTTGAAAAACTTTTGAAATAATGCCATCTTTCGAAATTATCATCATTTTATTTTATGATGATATTATAATAATAAGCTAGATTTTTTGCTAGAAAATAAAAAAAAACTTGTAATTTTAAAATTTTTATTTAAAACTTTTAAAATTTTAATCTCAAAAAAACGAGAAATAAAACTAATTTTAATGCAATTCTTTTTATAATTAACGAAAGTGTAGATTTGAGAGAACGAATAAACAATTGGACCCCCTCTAGCACTAATCCCAAACGACGCTACTAACTTTCATATGACAAACACAGCATTCCATGTAATCATTAACGATTAAAAGTGAACTCTACTTCAAGTCATGTGTTTATATTTTGTAGCAGCCAATCATATTGAAGATTGTATTCAGTGCGGCTCTACTTTTAAACAGCTGATATATAAATAATTATACATTTTAGCACATATATATATATAAATATATTCTAATATATATATTTATTTATACATAGGCCTTTGTTAGCGTTTATTTGAATACCAAATAATCGACAATATTCATGTCAAAGTTGACATATGAAACTGGTTTCATGATAGAAATTATAACTATAAATATATATATATATATATATATATATATATATATATATATATATATATATATGCATGTATATACAATATACATAAAGCTATGAAAATTTCTAACACTACAATAACATGTATAGTATGCCAAAGTAATTGATGGGATTGTTTAAAGAACCAAGAAAATCATTGAAATTATGCATTGCACGCGTGTGTGTGTGCGTGTGTGTTTGTGTGAATAAATAAGTATGTATGTATGTGTGTGTGTGTGTGTGTGTGTGTGTGTGTGTGTGTGTGTGTGTGTGTGTGTGTGCTTAATAGAACGAAAACGATGACGAATTATCATGCATATGCATTTATCTTGTCCTTGGGAAAGTTGTTGCTGTTGTTAACATTGTTGCTGCTAACGTTGTTGTTGCTGCTGCTGCTTAGTTCTGACACGTTGTATGGATGGTAACGCGTCTGCTCCTTCATCTTTCAAATAACATAAAAATTTAATTATTAATTAAATTGAAATAAATATATAATTCGTAATGAATATTTAACATAGGAACTTCTTATATATTAGCATAGCAATTACACTCTAAATATTTCATGATTTAAATGGACAAAAATTAATATGAAACAAATTTTATTGATGGGCTAGTTAATAGTAAGTAGAAATGTGGCGATGTGAATCAACAGGAACGAAATCACACGAATAGCCGGTCATTATTCATAAATCACATGAAATTATTCATCAGTTAAGCCACGAATTATTTGATAATTTAGAAATGTTAATACATCAAAATTTTGTCATCATTTAGAATCAATTGAAATTATATCGTGAAAGTTTTATTTTTCATCCGTAATTTTACTTCTTAGTTATTGTTTGCATGATCATATATTGATTTTTTGATTAAATAATTGCTCGATCATCGTTTGAATTAGTGATTGATCGATCGAATGATTGATCGGATTGATTAAAATTCGTCTGTTATAATTTCAAATCAATGAATATTAAACCTGTGGAAGAGTTAGTGATAGAACAGGAGCCATCATTGATTGGTTACTGGCAGCAACAATTTGGTTGTTGTTTCGATTGTTGAAGTTGCTGTTGCCACTGCCATTACCGCTGATGTTGTTGGTGGTGCTGAATCCTGTGAAACTGTTATTGTCATTTAACTAACTTCACACTCGTACAAAGTGGTTGGTAAAATGAATTTAACAATTTTTCTATATATTTAAATGTATAATGTCGAAACCTGTTAAAAATTTCCTTCAACTCGTGGTCGTGGCATCCGGCAGACCCGAGATTGGCGGCCACAAGGACTGTAGGGCCACACCCGCCGTTGCCTCCACCACCACTTGAAAGCTGCAGGATGTTTGTCGTGTTGTTGGCGATTGGGGCGCCTAGAATTGGAGGAGGAGGTAGATGGAAATGAGTTGCTGCAGCCGTCGGTGCTACAAAAGTGGCTGGAAAGACCTGCAAAAATTAAAATTTTGCATTTTAAATCATACAAAAAGTTTCATAACTATTAAATTATAAAATTAATTGACAAAGATATGCACAAACCGACGCTTGCTGCATGAGTAATGGCTGCTGGTGGTAGGGGTCAACGTAGAAAGTTTGCACGTGAGGGTTCCAAACGTCACCTTCCAATTTTTAAAAATTATGCGCTAGATTATAAATGAGTAATGACTTTGACAGAAGAGTAAAAATATTAAATGGAAAAGGTAAAAAAACGTGCCCAAGGTGAGGCTCGAACTCACGACCTTCAGATCGCTCTATCATTTGATTATGAGACTGACGCGCTGCCTACTGCGCCACTTAGGCACCTAACAACCTGCGCTCAAGAATGCTATATAAAACCGCTTTGAAACTTTTAATAAAAATTTCAACCATCCTATTTGGTGAATTAACTAATACCTAACAGTTTCGATATAAAAATCCTTTATTTCTAGCAAACCAAAAATGGAGTTACCAAATTATTATATACGAAATAAAAAATTAAATAAATAAAAATTTAAACCCGGTTGGATAATTGCAGTGGCGGGAGCACCTTGGAAGGAAATATTGGGCGCAGTATAAAATGGTGAAAATGTAAGTGTCGGTTGACTTGGTGTCTTGGGTTTTGTCACCTTCGTATTGGTTTTTGCAAATTCCAGCCTAAGAACTTGGGGGAAATCCGGATCAAACCTAACACCCTTGTTAAAAAAATTAGTTTTTTTTACGTGACTTCCTGGAAGAAGGCTTAACGTTAAAACATTTGCCGGGTTGTTTTAATTTAATATAATTAAGTTTTTATGATAATCGATAGATGGCCAATAATTTTTGAATATTTGTCATCTTTTGTACAATTAGTGGTGTTTTTATTTAAAATGCAAAATAAAATGTTTTCATAATAATATTTCAATAAATTTAACTAATTTGAAAACGTAAAAATCACATTTATTGGTGAAGTTGAATTTTGTGATTTTAGAAGAATAAAAGTTTATTAGCGACATCCTGTGAGTTGTTGAAGTACAAAATATAAATTATAAATGTTACGAAATCTCCGTTTTGACCAAATTTACCATTGAATTGTTGTGAAAGTTTTCAATTAAATATATATATTTAAGTGTTGATAAATAAAAAAATTGTGTTCAGTGGAGTTTTCAAATACACGTAAGTAATATGTAACCTTAAAAATTTTGCTTTCAGAGGAAAAGAGTAGTGGAGCATTATTTTAATTAATTATTTTATTGTAAAAATTAAAAAATTAACAATATAATCAAAGATTTTATAAAAATCTTTATTTAAATAACTGCAATATTGTTTAATATATAGTTGATACAGGGGCGGATCTAGACATGGTCCCTCTTGATGAATCTACTAAAAAAAACTACCAGCTTGTATCAGCACCATATTCCAAAAAATCGAACTATAGTGCGTATCGTCCGTTTAATATTTAATTTTATTTAAAAGCTTCGCTATTTCCGTTACAAAAGTTTATATTTTTATGTTCGGGAGATAGAGTTCAACATGAATCTAGTCAAAAACTGCCAGCTTAATTCACACGTCAACGCCAAAAGAAATCAAACTATAGTGCGTAGTACCTACATAATGATTACTGTTCGATCGATTTTTTGCTTGTTACGCCAATTTTTGGTAGATTTTTATTTACCATGAATTCAGTTTTATGGACTTTTAGTAAAAATGCTGCTCCCAATGGGAGGGACCATGACCCCTCCGAACCCGCTAGATTCGCCACTGGTTAGTTGAAAATTTCATGCCTAGTTGTCATCAGAACTGTGTGTATGCTAAGCTTATTAATTCTGTTACTAACGCCAGTTACTTTAATTCCAGTCGATTTTGTGAAGAATTTACATCAAAAAATGAATGAACAAATAACTGGCTGAATGAATGTATGAATGAATGAATAGGTGAATGGTTGAATGAATGAATTGATTGACTGATGAATTATTGACATACTTGCAGTTGATTCCTGGCATTTTCCGCATCTCTTTTGCTGGCAAACGTCACAAAACCAACTGGCTATTTATATGTGTGTATGTACAAATAATTCATTTTAATTAGAAAATTAGATGGATGAACGAATGCATGAACAAACGAATGAGTATATGAATGAACGAAAGAATAAGTAAATGAATAGTAACACAATTTGGTGGAATCATGTGTTTGTTGACGTTTTTCAGCAGTGAAGTTTCAAAGCCCTGTTGTTTAAAGTATGTAAAGTTGTGTGAATGAATGAAAAAATTATATCAAGTAACATTTTTTTTGTTAAATTTGAAGTCAAAAAGTCCAAAAAAACGAAAAATTACATGAAAACTTCTGAAAAGTAGATTGAGTTCTCTCGGTTTGCAATCCATTGGTAGGCCACTGATGAACAACGTGCGCACCTGTTTGTTTGTTCGTTTGCTTGTTTGTTTGTTTGTTCGTTTGCTTGTTTGTTTGTTCGTTTGCTTGT